CGCTCCCGATGCGCGGCCGCGGGCGAGCGCGCCCCTCCCTGTCCTGCCACTGCACCCTGCCGGCCGGCCGTTTCCCGGGCGCCCCAAGTTGACACTGCCCCGGGGGGTGGGGGGCGCAAGGTTCTAGGCTGACGTTCCCCGCTCGCACCCGCAGGGCGCGCGTGCCAGCTGCCCACCCGGGCCCAGCTGCCACCCGCGCTGTCGCCGGCCACCGGCGCCCCCCAGCGCCCGGGCTTCTCCCGGCCCGGCCGCCCGCTCCAGCTGCTGGAGAGTTTTGCTCCTGGCCCCGTCACTTCAGGGGCAGTGGTGGCAGTTTCCCCTCCTCCAGCCTCGCCTTCTCTCATCGCCTCCCTCGAGGCGGCGGCTTGGCTGCCAGTGTGGAAAGAGCCCTAGATTTGAAGCGGGGCTGACCCAGGTTCCAGGCCTTGCGTCAGTGCGCTCACTTAACCCAGCGAGCTGCCCTGTGCTGAGATGTGAGGTCGGGAGCATCTGGTAGCGATGCTGCTGGGCGAGGACGCGGCGGACGGCTTCCCATCCGCTGCCCCTCAGGCACTGTACCGGGCTGGCACCGGTGTGACCCAGCACCGTTCTCTTCCTCTCCCTGCAGGTCTCCAGGCCAGGGCAATGTTCCGCACGGCCGTCATGATGGCGGCCAGCATGGCGCTGACCGGGGCCGTGGTGGCCCATGCCTACTACCTCAAGCACCAGTTCTACCCCACGGTGGTGTACCTGACCAAGTCCAGCCCGAGCATGGCTGTGAGTTGGGCAGGAAGGAACTCCCTGGGAGGGAAGGCGGGGAAGGGGTGGGGCTGGTAAGTCAGGTAAGTAGAAGGGAAGCCACGGGCCTCCTTGCTTCGACTGAATTGTCGGGAGGATGTGGGGGCCTTGAATGAAGAGTCTACGGCAGAGCAAACCCCAGACCGTTGCCTCCCACCCCCCAGGTCCTGTACATCCAGGCCTTCGTCTTTGTCTTCCTCTTGGGCAAGGTGATGGGCAAGGTGTTCTTTGGACAGCTGAGGGCAGCAGAGATGGAGGTAAGATGTTTGCCGCCCCAAAGATGAGGGGAGGGTACTGGGCAAGCAGAACGTCCACATCGTCCCTTGTTTAACCTCCAGCACCTTCTGGAACGTTCCTGGTATGCTGTCACTGAGACATGTCTGGCTTTCACTGTCTTTCGGGACGACTTCAGTCCCCGCTTTGTGGCACTCTTCACTCTCCTGCTCTTCCTCAAGTGTTTCCACTGGCTGGCTGAGGACCGCGTGGACTTTGTGAGTTGGTTTGAGGGTACTCTAGAGCAGACGGTGGCCAGAGAGTGACCGTTGGGGCTGGCTCGTGGAGCAGGGAAGGGTTGGGGAGAGCCCCAGCCTTCCTGATGGGCCCCTCTCTGTTCTGCCTCAGATGGAACGCAGCCCCAACATCTCCTGGCTCTTTCACTGCCGCATTGTCTGTGAGTGGGATTCCTGGGAGGGGAGAGAAGGGTACAGGAGGGAGAAGAGACCCTGGAGGACTGGAACATGAGCAGTCTCTCCCCACGCACAGGCGGCCCTGCAGCCCACAGCTGTACAGGAAAGATAATTTAGGAAGTTCATTTGCATCGTCTCTGTGCTGTTCCACCCCAGGGCTTCTCAACCGCTGGGGCCCAGAGCTCTGGCCCTTCACCTGGAGCTTGGGCAGAAGAGGGGTTCCCAGGGGGCCAAGGTCAATGAAGTGTGCCCACCCAGCTAGACGGCTCGGGCCACCGTGGGCTGGTGGGTGGGAGCTGTATTGGAGCAGGAAGTGATTGTCAGGACCTGGAGTGACCCCACAAACCCCCACTTGGGGGGTGTCCCACAGCCCTGATGTGCCTCCTGGGTGTCCTGGACTTCCTCTTCGTCAGCCATGCCTATCACAGCATCTTGACCCGTGGGGCCTCTGTGCAGCTGGTGTTTGGCTTTGAGGTAAAACTGGCTTGGGAGGTCGGGAGCTCTGGCCTGAAGTCGCAGCGCACGGCCAGCCGACCCTTGTAAGCACCTGCTCTGGGGCCAGCCGCCAGCCTGCCAGCCAGGCCCGCCCTGCTGCTGCTTGCTGACTCCAAGGAGGGTGGGGGCAGCCCGGAAAGAGGGCCTGTGAGGTGGTGCTGAGTGAAGGCTGCCCAGAAGCCTGCAGCAGGAAAGGTGGCTGTGGAGGGACAGGACAGCTGGGCCTGGCGGGGCGGGAGTGTGTGCAGTGACCGCAGCTGAGCCCCGTGCAGGCACCTGCATTGTATCTGTTAATCTGCAAAGCAGTGAAGCGCCAGTTGGTGGCTTTTCACCCACCAGCAGCTTGAACTTCGAGGTCTAGTGAGTGGGGAGAAGCGACCCCGGCTAGTGAGCAGAGTTGCTGGGGGAGCAGAGCTGCGGCGTGAGGCGGGGCTAGTGCTGACGTCCCCCCGCACCCCCAGTACGCCATCCTGATGACAATGGTGCTCACCATCTTCATCAAGTACGTGCTGCACTCCGTGGACCTCCAGAGCGACAACCCCTGGGACAACAAGGCCGTGTACATGCTCTACACCGAGCTGTTCACAGGTGAGGGCGGCCTGGCCCTGGGCGGACCGGGGCCCGCCTGCCTCGCAGGGTCCGTCACTGCTGCTCTCTGCACTCCTAGGCTTCATCAAGGTCCTGCTGTACATGGCCTTCATGACCATCATGATCAAGGTGCACACGTTCCCGCTCTTCGCCATCCGGCCCATGTACCTGGCCATGAGGTGAGCCCCGGCCCGGCCCGCCCCTGCTCCCTCCCCCCTGCCACACTCACCCTGAGGGTCCTTCCAGGCAGTTCAAGAAGGCGGTGACGGATGCCATCATGTCTCGCCGCGCCATCCGCAACATGAACACGCTGTAAGTGGGCTCTCCTGGCTGCCCCCCCCGGCGCTGCCCTCGGTGCCCCGGCCCCCGCGTGGCCTTGACACGGCCTGGCCGGGCTTGCCCAGGTACCCAGACGCCACCCCGGAGGAGCTGCAGGCCGTGGACAACGTCTGCATCATCTGCCGAGAAGAGATGGTAACTGGCGCCAAGAGACTGCCCTGCAGCCACATTTTCCACACCAGGTGGGCCTGGGGCGGCCGGGACAAGCTCTGGGGGCCAGGCCTCCCGGCGCCGGCTGACGGGCGCCTGCTCTGGGCCCCCAGCTGCCTGCGCTCCTGGTTCCAGCGGCAGCAGACCTGTCCGACCTGCCGCATGGACGTCCTGCGGGCCTCTCTGCCTGCGCAGTCCCCGCCACCCCCCGAGCCTGCGGACCAGGGGCCTCCGCCTGCCCCCCACCCACCTCCACTCCTGCCCCAGCCCCCCAACTGTGAGTGCCACCCTTGTTCATCATCCAGCGTGCTGGGGAGTGTTCGCCCCAGCTGGTGTGGGAAACGCTGAGGGCAGCTGGGGCCTAGGAGGGCGCAGGCTGGGAAGCGGCACGCTGACCCCGGCCCGCGGCCTGCCGACTCGAGGGCCTGCGGCGCACGGAACAGCACCCAGCAGCCAAGCCCCCGCCTGCCGTTTGGGTCTGTCTCGCTTAAACCTTTACTCACCTTCATGTCTTCTCTCTGCAGTTCCCCAGGGCCTCCTGCCCCCCTTTCCTCCAGGCATGTTCCCACTGTGGCCCCCCATGGGCCCTTTTCCACCTGTCCCGCCGCCCCCCAGCTCAGGAGAGGCTGCAGCCCCTTCGTCCACCAGTGCGGGTGAGCCTTGGGCATGGTGACAGCGGGGAGTGGGGGGCTGGAAGCAGAGCCCCACAGCCCTCACTGAGCGTGTCTTCTCCTCAGCACTGTCTCGGCCCAGTGGAGCAGCCACTAACACAGCTGGTGCCTCCACCCAGGCCACCGGCTCCGCCGCCGAGGCGGGCCCCACCCCAGGCTTCCCCTTCCCGCCTCCCTGGATGGGCATGCCGCTGCCTCCCCCCTTTGGTAAGCGGGTGACGCAGGGCGTGCTGCAGCCTGGGGTGCCAGGGTGCACAGCCCCGGCTGAGCCCCTGCCTCTCCCCAGCCTTCCCCCCGATGCCCGTGCCCCCCGCCGGCTTTGCTGGCCTGACCCCTGAGGAGCTGCGTGCGCTAGAGGGCCACGAGCGGCAGCACCTGGAGGCCCGGCTGCAGAGCCTGCGCAACATCCACACGCTGCTGGACGCCGCCATGCTGCAGATCAACCAGTACCTCACTGTGCTCGCCTCCCTGGGGTGCGTGTGCGGGGCGGGCGGGGGGCGGAGGCTGGCCCTGGTCCTCAGGCGGTCTCCTCTGCCACCCTGTGACACCTGCCGATTCAGGCCACCTCCCTGAGGCAGCCGGGTCTCCTCTTGGGGCCCTTCTCCCCCCACTGCAGAAGGCCCGTATCCATCTAAGCAGTAGTGTTTAGAGAGCTGACTTGAGTTTTGTCCCTCACGTTTTTCTGTATTTTCACAACCTTCCGTGCCATCATTGAGCAGATAGCATCAATGTGGGATGTGGCATCAGTGGGCACTGTGACTGAGTCACTGCCCTTGACCTGAGAAGACAGTCACTTGGCGCCAGCCTGGTCCAAGGTCAAGTCCCGGACCTGCGTGACGTGACCTTCTCTGAACAGGTGTTCTGATTCCTACGCACAGGTCACCGTACAAGGTGCCTGGCAGCCATCAGGGACAACCCAGGCTTGGAGGGAGCCTTGAGCCCCGGCTGAGCGCTCCATGACTCTGGTCCCGTGTAAAGACCCGCCCGGGCGGACGCCGTGCCCTAACAGTGGGCACGGCCGCAGGGGGGAGGCAGGGTTTTCAGTCTGGCACAGAGGGCGACTCGTGCCTGTGTCCACGGGGCTGTGGGGCACGGCTGGCGGACCCTGCCCTGCAGGGCTCAGCGAGACCAGCCAAGTGCCACCTCCCTTGATGCCAAGACCTGATCCATTGTCCCTTCTCTTCCCAGGCCCCCCCGGCCTGTCACCTCCACCAGCCCCACTGAGGAAAGCGCCCCGACAGCTGTGGCTGCCACCTCCACCAGCTCCCCCAGCTCGGAGGCTGTCACCTCGTCCCCAGGAGTCTCCTCAGCTGCCCCTGAACCTGAGAAGCCTCCAGGTAGGCTAGGGCAGCCTGGGGGGGAAGGAGAAGGGCCCCGTCTCTGGGTCCCACTTCTGTCCCCTGTCCCCAGCCCCTGAGTCGGTGGGCACCGAGGAGCTGCCCGAGGACGGGGAGCCTGACGCAGCAGAACTCCGCCGCCGGCGCCTGCAGAAGCTGGAGTCTCCCGTTGCCCACTGACACTGCCCCAGCCCTGGCCCCTGCCCCCACTCTCGTAAGCAGCCCTCGCTGGATCGCGTCCTGCCACCAAGTGCCAGCTCCCTCTCTTTGCACCAGGGAGTAGTAGCCCCCAACTCTGAGACAGAGGTGGCGGCATCCCCAGGCCGGGTGGAAAGAGGCCCGAGGCCCGGAAGACTGCGCCCTTAACAGCCCGGCCGCCGTGCGGGTCCCGGGTCAGCTCCGGCCTTGCTCTCCGACCCTCAGCCTGGGTTCTGCTGGGGCCAGGAAGGTGGAGGCGCCACCTCTTGAGAAGCCCCCTCCTCGCCCCCTTCTGGGGGCGGGGCAGCCCTCTGAGCCCACGGCCTGGAGGCCTGCTGCAATGCCGACCAGTATTAGCTCCTGCTCTCGAGTGTGGCTGGAGGCGGCTTAGGGGCTCGCTCCCTGGCCCACCCACCAAGACTGCTACCGGATTTCCTTTACTTGCCCTGTCAACCCAGAAGCCCTTGCGGTGGTGGCTGTCCCCTTTATGCCCTGTGGCATTTCCACGTCTTACTGGCAACTACATAACTCAGGGGAAGGAGTGCCTGGGGGTGAGGGGGCAGGTGGGCAGCATTGAGGGACCCTGCCCTCCCTCACCCCAGACCCCTGCAGTTTGTCTTAGGTGAGGCTGCGCCTGGTCTCACCCAGCAGCCACTGCCCAGTCTCACTGCAGGCCGAGGGCGCGTGCGTCTGCTCCTGAACCACTGCAAGCCCCAGAACCTACCGAAGGCCGCTTCTCAGCTCTCGGCACTTTTCTTGAGTTTAGAAGAGTCGGAGTTACTTCCTTGCTGTTGTCTTTTGGATTAAATTTGGGCTTTGAATGCTTGAACCCAGGGAAGAGAAGCGCCAGGCTCTTGGTCTTCCCTGTTAGAAAGGCTCTGGGCCAGGTGGGCCAGGGGCGCCCCAGCGGCCTGCCCAAGTCTTTCCCCCTCAGTTTTGTGTTACAGAGTTGCTGGAGACAGTTTCAGATGATTATTTAATTTGTAAATATTGTACAAATTTTAATAGCTTAAATTGTATATACAGCCAAATAAAAACTTGCATTAACAACTGCTGGGGTTGGTGTCGCAGACTGGAGGTGGCCTGGGGTCTCCAGGAGGCGGGGCTTGGTTACAGGTCGGCCAGTAGGGAGGCACAGCCACTTTCCAGGATCGAGCCCCAAAGAGGTCAAGTGCCTGCTGCAGGCCGCAGATGACCAGGCCAAGTTGCTCCACTCCAGGGGGGCTGTAACTCCAGGGTTGGGGAAGGTGTAAAGGTTCATTGGCGGGGGCAGATGGGATGGCCAGGTGAAAGGCCAGCATCTCCACCTGTACAGCCCCTCAGAGGTGGGTGAGCTGGGATAGCTGGCCCTGGGGGCGCTGCTAGGAGCTCCAGACAGCCTTGAAGGTCGACCAGCCAAAGCTAGTCCCTGAACTCCCCAGAGTCGGCAGCCCAGTCAGGCAAGCTCTGGTCCGGGACAGGACAGAGGCCGTGGGCCCTCCACTTCTGCGGGTAGAGTCCAGAGTCTGACTTGGAGCTTAGGACGGAAGGCCCTCAGGGCCCATGTCTGAGTCCTCAGTGTTTACTGCCACCACCAGGTCAGGTCTGGCCAAAAACACAGACCCAGAAATGTTTGCCATGAGCATGTGAGGGCTGAGGGGGAACCGTGTCCCATGCATTTGCCAGGGGCCTCCCAACCTCGGCTGATAGCTTCCAGCAAAGAGCCATCAACAACCTCGGAGCCTGAGTAACTGACCTCAAGGGGCCGGAACAGGTCATAGTTGGGTTGAGGGCAGAATGCAGCCACTGCTGTCACTAGCTGGGCTGTTCCTGGAGGGTCTCCAGTGTTCAGGACCCCTCAGTGCCGGCCCCTGTGTGGAAGGGCCTGACTCCTGAAGCCACTAGCTCTCCCTCTGCACCAGCCCTTTGTCCTGCAACCTATTCCTTGGGCACCAGCCTCTCCCTCCTGAAATCCCCCAGGCTCCAGTCTGGGATACGGTCATGCCGGCTGCTCAGCTGGGCCTCAGAAGCCCTTCTCCAGGAGCCAGGCTTTGAGCTGCTGGTCAAAGTAGCCCTTGACGCGCAGGGTACCTGTCACCTCATTGACCTGGGTGATGGGTGCCTTCCCCAGCAGTGGGCTCAGGAAATCTTCCACATCCTTTTGCAGGGCCTGGGCAAGAGTAACAAAGCAGGCTGGTCAGAAATTCTCTAGAAGACTCCCATCGCTTCAGCCTGAAAGGGTCAGATCAGATCCCAACCCATCCACTTACCCAAATGTCCCCCTCCACCTTCCGGATCACGGTCATCTGCCGGTTGCCATGTGTGATGTCCTTGTAGACGGGGAGGTTGTGCATCCGAGAACGCCGCACAAAATAGGGCAGGCTGGGTGGGGGGTCTGAGACAGAGGCACTGATAAGCTGCCTTTCCCCTGGGTTCAACCCACTGCAGCCAAGGGTTGCACCCCAGTCTGCAGTGGGGCAGTGACCCAAAAAGCAAAATCTCCAGACTTCAGGTCAGGACCTGCACTCCACTAGGGTCAGAGCCAGGACAGCTTGTTCGCCCTGGTATCCCAAGACCCAGCACGGGGTCTGGCACCAATCTTTAAGCAGAAATGAAGTCTGGGTCACATCTTTGTGAATCTTTGGGGCATCCTTGGAGGCCAATCCTCGCCTTTCTCCACTGGTTCCAGAGGCTAAGTCAATCCCTAGGTGGGGACTCACAGCACTGAACACAACCACATGCCTGGCTCTATACTGAGTGTTGTTAATTTATGTATATGGCCTTTTGCCAACGATAATGAAGCCCTACCCAAACCTACAAGTCCCCTTTATAAAAGTCAGTGTTGCTTCAGATATCCTGGGAGGATGTGTGTGTGGGGGGGAGAACAAGTATGAAGCCCACTGTGTCCAGTGGTTACTGAGTGCTTTATGTGTTCCTGTCACTTTGCTGCAACTGAGCCAGGGGGAAGCTAAGTGATTAACTCAATGTCACACTGACAGTTTGGACCCAGACTGCCAAGCTATGTTCTTGATTATGTCACAGAGCCCCTGGGGGCCAGGCTGGGGGAACTCAAACTCTCGGAGCTCTCTGTGCCTCACTCTGCCTGTATAGGAGGCAGCACGGCTAGAGGGGGTCAGTGAACACAATGCAGATACTAGTCCTGAGGGGCCTCAACAAGTCCTGAACCCACTGGAAGTCCAGACTCTCATCTGAGGAGGGCAGATGTTTCTCAAAAGCCTCAAGCCAACCCCATCACCCAGCTCACCTCTAGGGGGCTGCCAGCCACTTGGAGTGGGTAAACATTCATGCTTTGGGGGTTTGGGGATGCTGGTGGGGGGTAATAGGCGCTCCACAAACTTGTATTCATCCACAGACTCCACAAAGCTGGGGTAACTGGGAGGTCCCTGGGCCTGGCTCTGAAGCAAGAACAAAAATAAAATTAAGTCTCTTATCAGCTCACCCACCCACTACAGGATGGGCAGGGTTAGTAAACAGAGGGAATCGTCACAGGCAGAGAGAATGGCATAAATCAAAGGCTGGAGTTAGAAAAGCACCAGACTTCAATTTGCCGAGAGTCCTCGCTCAGAATTTCTGTATGACTCAAATGAGAAGTCTTGCAATATGGCATTTCCCAGTGCTGAACTTTCCTCTGAAGGGCCTCCTTGGTGGCGCAAGGGGTTAAGTCTCAGCACAAAAAAGCCATCCACTGCCACTGCATCCCCAGCCAGGGAGTGACCCACAGGGCACAGCAGACCTCTCCTGACGCGCCCACTGCTCCCCTCAGCAGTGTACTTCCTCCGTAGGCCTGTTCCGCCCCGAGTCTGTCTCTGGTGAATCCTCTCCCCCCCTCCTCACCCTCATCCTCTGGCCTACACCCCAGTCCTTGTATGCATAAATAAAATGAAACGAGTTTAAATAATTCATTTTCTTCTGAACATTCTACCAAAATATTCTAGTTTTACGTTAGGATCTTTCAGCAATAGTTTTCCGCGATGATTTTCCACACCCACTCATACAATGGGACCCTCCCTTACCCGGAACATCACCCAGTCTCACTAGGGCACCAACACTACTGCGCAAGCGCTGCGTGGGTATTCACTTACAACGAGTCAAAACACGCATTACCCTGTTTTTGCACTGAAGAAAAATAAAGCCATTAGTGAGCAGTCTACCCACTCCATGAATGAGCCAAGACTCCAAGTCACACTCCGGAGTCTTTCTCAGTCCTCCGCAGAAGATCCTTCTCGGACGCGTCTCCCAACAGGTTATACCCGGGACCTTTAGGTTCCAAGTAGTGTCGCCCGACGGCCAGGGCAGTTTCCCCTTCAGACAGGTAGCGAGAGACGCTGTGCAGGCCCCACCCAAGTTCAGACTAATGCAGGTGGACCCCCGGCCGGGTTCCAGCCCTCGCACTCCGACGCGCCAGTCCGACACCTCAATCTTGTATCTGAGCTCCAGACACGTGGTACCCACTAGACGGGCCTTAGTTAAAATTTGCCAGGGTTACAAGGAGTCTCCCGCCCAGTCCTCTGCCCTGACTCGAGGTTCGCGCTCTCACCAGGTACCGTAACACGCAGGCCGGCTGGACGCCGACTCCCCGGCCCCGTAGCGCAGTCAGGAAGACAGCCGCCGCCATCTTGCACCGCCTACTCAAGCTAATCTGCGCGCGCAACTGACACGCCCCCTCCACGCTTCCGGCACGCAACTGCTGGGCCAAATATACGCATGCGCAAAGTAAAGGGGCGGAGCTAGGGTTGTACGAAGACGAGATCGTCGCGGTCGCTCTACAGTGACGTAGCACGCAGGAGTCGGCGAGGACGTGCCCGCCCTAGCTCCTTCCTCTTTTCCGACTCCATCTTCGCGGTAGCGGCAGCTGGAGCCGCTCTTAGGTAAGATTTGGGCCGCGGCTGGTTCCGGAGAGCTGAGTAACCGACTGGTAGCGATACCATAGAGCGCGGGCAACATAATGGAAGTGGGGCTGCTCTGTGGGTCGGGCTTCGGTCCCCCCGATTTCCCTGGAAGACCCGCCTTTGCCCACGTGAGATCCTCCGACCACCTCCACCCTGGGGAGACTATCTCCCAGCCCCACCACTCCCCACCCCTTCTCTCCCGGAGCGATTGTTACAGAAGCCTTTCTTTTCTCAGTCGCCGACATGCAGCTCTTTGTCCGCGCCCAGGAGCTCCACACCCTCGAGGTGACCGGCCGGGAGACGGTCGCCCAGATCAAGGTAAGGCAGAGTCATGCTCTTTGACGCCCATCCTCGGGTTCTCAACACCTCACCCCCCTGGAGACCGCTTATGAGCTTTATTCTCCCCTGTAGGCTCAAGTAGCCTCGCTGGAGGGCATCGCCCCGGAGGACCAAGTATTGCTCCTGGCAGGCACTCCCCTTGAGGATGGGGCTACCCTAGGCCAGTGCGGCGTAGAGGCCCTGACCACTCTGGAAGTAGCCGGCCGCATGCTGGGAGGTGAGTTGGGGAGACTTAGCCTTTGTTGCCAGTAAGCTCCTATGATTGTGGGATGTCACCTCAGTAAGAGGTAGTTATTTCCCTTTACCCTCAGAGTAGGTTCTTGAGAGATGCTTTGAGGCTGAGGCCAGTTATCATGTTTTAAGTTATTTTAGTCAGTGGTGAAGTTACTTCAGTTTTGTTCATTTCTTATGTCCAGCCTGCCCTTGAAGGCTTGAGTTGGGGTGGGGGAGCGGAATTGCACTCTGCGGGGCCTTCTTGCTCTCCTCATTGCTAGCTGTTCTCTTTTTCCCACCACAGGTAAAGTCCATGGTTCTCTGGCCCGTGCTGGGAAAGTGAGAGGTCAGACTCCCAAGGTAAGTATTAGTGGTGTCTTTTGGGCTTAGCTTTTAGCTAATATAGCTAAGTCAAGGTCCTTGACTTCCCTGGAGATGAAGCTGATGGGAGGTGTGAAAGAGACTGCCCAGAGTCTGATCGGCCTCCCTTTTCCCAGGTGGCCAAACAGGAGAAGAAAAAGAAGAAGACTGGGCGGGCCAAGAGGCGGATGCAGTACAATCGGCGCTTTGTCAATGTCGTGCCCACCTTTGGCAAGAAGAAGGGCCCCAATGCCAACTCTTAAGTCTTTGTGACCTTGGCTTTCTAATAAAGCCATTCCACCCAGTCACCTTGTCTCTCTTCATTTGCATCCACCGCAAGAATAGTGAGGACTCTCGTTTCCTAGCAGGGGCTCTTGACTTGGGAAAGGAAGGTGGTAAACTACAAGAATACTCTTTCACCACTTCCCAAACCTTTGGATTTAGAGTTGGGAAAGTTTCCAATCCTAAATAACTCAATAAATCACCTCAAGTCCTTAATTTATGTTGGCTCATTCAGAGACGAATAGCAGGAATCATTGTGGTGGGGGTTTTTTGTTTTTTTTTGTTTTTTTTTTTTTTTTTTTTTTTTGAAAAGGACAGTTTGAGTAAATATGTCGGCAGCTGCCAGTTGTGGCCTCAGTGGAGTCCAGTGCAGGAGTCTGGTCTGCCCTAGCTTCGCCTGATATCTTTGGTACCTCTGACCTGGTTTGCAATCTGACTGTCTGTTTGCAATTTAGTCAAAACTGAGAATTCTTGATGAGTTGTTTCATCAGTGTCCTCAGAAATTCCTTTCTCAGGATATGTTCAAGGTTTCCCCAATGGTGGGAGACAGGCCTTGGACTTTGACTGCCTGGAGTTTGGATCCTTATTCCATTATTGGCTGCCCTGCTCATTTAATCTCTGCTATCTGTTGCTGTAAAGGATTAAACAAAAAACAAAACTAGATCAGCTGCTGTATAATGTGAAAATCCTTTGGCTTTCATTTCACTGGTGATTTTTGTGAAAGGGTATGAAAACTAAATAGAAGTGACAGATCCTCAAGGAAAGTGAGCAGAGTGCTGTGAAGAAAGGGGAAAAGGAGGGTAACTGGACACTATCCCAGGGAAGCTGGAATGATGAGCCTTGAAATTGGAGCCAGTCCAGTGCTGACTTGGCAAAAGAGATGGTGTAGCCTGTGGGGGGTGAGATGGCAGAGCCTGTGGGGTCTTGGCAACCATGGACAGAAGTTTGGATTTGTGTCCAAATGTACATGGAAGAGTTTTAAGGACCCTGTGTGAGGTGACTTGTGATCTAGTATTTTCTCTTGATTTTTCTGAGAGCTGGCAGTTAAGGTGGGTGGTCCTAGTTGAGAAGGGGAGGGGCAAGTGGAGAGAATGCCAAAAATGACCAGGTTAGCCAAGCCGTCTAAATCTCAGTAGGTAAATACGTCTAGGGGCACTTCCCCTCTTAAGAGAAAAGCAACTTTCAACAAATAGCTGTTTGATTTTCTCCAAGTCCTCTCAACCTTGTAATACAAATTCCAAACGAGGCACCCAAAAACACTGAGCAAAAGGATGAGGCCCTGTCCTAAGGGAGTTTACAATCTACTAGCATGGGATTGATGAACGCTAAACCGCGCAGAGGATTGAAGACTACACATGGCACCTCTGAAAATAACACCCAAGCCCACCTCCTGCCCTGCTTGTATTATCTCAGTATAAGTCACGTTTTTATCCCTGGGAACCCCGTCTTTATTTCATCCTAACTGTCCCTTTGTTCTGATCCCTGGTAGGATGGCTGCCCCTTGCACTGGGACCGGTCACCGGCTCCCATAGGCCTCAGGCTATTTCGTGTGGCCCTAGATCAGCAAATACCACATTTCAATGCAGTGCTGTGTAGTGTTACAAGGCAGCCACCAGGGGGCGAGCTGGCGAGGAGGCCCTCGAGCGCTCTACCTCCACCGCGCAGGGCGGGGCTTCCGCGGGAGCGGAAATTGCCGAGTGTCCTCGGGAAGTTTTGACGGAGCGCTCGGTCCCTGAGAGGCGGAAGTGCCCGAGGAGCGCCGGAAGCCGTCGAACTGCGGGTCGCGTGCGCTCGCGGGGTGCAGGGCGCCAGTTGCCATGGAGCCGGCCGGGCTGTGCGGTTTCTGCCCGGCCGGGGACGCCCAGCCGGCGCGCTACACCTGCCCGCGCTGTAACGTGCCCTACTGCTCGCTGCGCTGCTACCGGGCGCACGGCACCTGCGCCGAGGACTTCTACCGCGACCAGGTGCTGGGAGAGCTCCGCGGCCGCCACGCCTCGCCCAGCCGCCTGGCGGGCGCGCTCCGCAGGCTGCGACAGCAACGTGAGACCGAGGACGAACTCGAGGACGCAGGCCCGAGCCCAGGCCCGGCGCCCGGCGGCCTATCGGGACTCTGGGAGCGACTGGCCCCGGCCGACAGGGCGGCTTTCGAGCGGCTGCTGAGCCGTGGCGAGGCCGGGCG